TGCCAGCCCCCGCCACCCCCTGCCGTGGTGGGTCCCCGGTCCCACGTGGTGTGGTCTTCACAGCCTGCAGGTGTCCGGTGTGGTGGTCCCGTGACCATGGTGTGTGGTCTACACGTGTCCTGGCCATGTGGTGCCCCACGTGTGTACCCCGGTCCCATACGTGGTCCATGCCATGTCCCACACGTGTCCTGGCCACGCTGTGTGGTCTACACGTGTCCTGGCCATGCCATGCCCCACGTGTGTCACGCATGCGCCACCTGTCCCATATGTGGTCCATGCCATGTCCCACACGTGTCCTGGCCACACTGTAGACCCCGTGTCCCACACGTGTCCAACAAGTGCTGTGGCCTCCTCACAGCCTCCATATCCCATACGTGGACCACGCTTTCCGTGTCCCATGCGTGTCCTGGGCATGCTGTGTCCCACCACGTGCCGCAGCTTCACCATGGTCTCCATGTCCCATTCACGGGCCATGCCATGTCCCACGCGTGTCCCGGCCATGTTCCAGCATGCCATGGCCATGTTGCAGTCCCCGCATCCCACACGTGTCCCAGCCACGCCACGTCCCCCAGGACCCATGGCCACATCACTCTACGCCCCGTACATGGTCCAGGTTGGCCATGTCCCACATCTCCCAGCCATGCCACTCCCCACACCGTGGTCTCCAAGCCCCACTCGCGGGCCACCGTCTCGTGGTCCCAGCCACCTCGCCGCGTGTCCCACGTGTCCGTCCCGCCCGCCGCAGGATCACCACCATCCGCCTGGGCAAGCACAACCTCTACACGCGGGAGTTTGGCGAGGTGCAGAAGATGGTGCAGAAGCTGGTGGCACACCCCAACTACAATCCCACCACCAAGGACAACGACATCATGATGATCAAGCTCCTGACGCCCGTCGCCCTCACCGAAAGGATCCAGCCCATCCCCGTGGCCTCCTGCCTCCCGGAGCCCGGCACCACCTGCACCACTTCGGGATGGGGGGCCACCACCTCCCCAGAAGGTACCCAGCACCCGTGACCTCTTCCGGATGCCTGAGTCCTCCCCTGGAGGTCTGGGTCACCTCCTGGAGGTCTGGGTCCTCTCTGGGAGGTCTGGATCCCCTCCTGGAGGTCTGGGTCCTCTCCTGGAGGTCTGGGTCACCTCCTGGAGCTCTGGATCTCCTCCTGGAGGTCTGGGTCCTCTCCTGGAGGTCTGGGTCACCTCCTGGATGTGTGGGTTTCCCGCCCTGGACATCTGGGTCATCTCCTTGGCCCCTTGGTCCTCTTATGAGTGCCTGGATCGTTTTCTGGACACCTGGGTCCCCTCCCAGATGACTCCTGAACACCAAGCCGCATCCCAGTTCCCTATGTCCACTCCTGGACGTCTGGGTCCTCTCCTGGACATGTGTGTCCTCTTCTGGACACCTGGGTCCTTTCTAGGACATTTTGGTGATCTTCTGGACATTTGGGTGGTCTCCTGGACATCTAGGTCCTCTCCTGCACACCTGGGTCCCCTCCCAGATGCCTGGGTCTTCTCCTGAACACCAAGTCCCATCCTGGTCACTTGTGTCCTCTCCTAGAGATATGTGTCCCCTCATGGACATCTGGGTCTTCTCCTGGACATTTGGGTCCCCTCCCAGATGCCTGGGTCTTCTCCTGAACACCAAGTCCTGTCCTCGTTACCTATGTCCTCTGCTGGAGGTCTGGGTCCTTTCTGTGACATTTGGGTGGTCTTCTGGACATCTGGGTGGTCTCTTGGACCCCTGGATCCTTTCCTGGACACCTGGGTCCCCTCCCAGATGCCTGGGTCTTCTCCTGAACACCAAGTCCCATCCTGGGAACCTATATCCTCTCCTGGACACCTGGGTCCTCTGAGAGACTTTTGGGTGGTCTCCTGGACATCTGGGTGGTCTCCTGGACCCCTGGATCCTTTCCTGGAGACCTGGGTCCCTTCCCAGATGCTTGGGTCTTCTCCTGAACACCAAGTCCCATCCTGGTTACCCATGTCCTCTCCTGGACACCTGGATCCTCTCTGGGACATTTGGGTGATCTTCTGGAGGTCTGGGTGGTCTCCTGAACATCTGGGTGGTCTCCTGGACCCCTGGATCCTCTCCTCAGGAATGGGAAGAAAAAGGGACAGTGGAGGAGGAAAGGGCAGGAAAAAAGATGAAATTGGGTGAATTTCCACCAAATACGGTGCAAAGAAACAAGGAGGAACACCCCAAAAACATCTCCCGACCCACAAACGGAGGAACGGATGGAAGGAGAAACGAAAAGTACGGATTTCTACCAAAGGCTGAACCGGGAGGAAAAGGTCAAATCCTGACATTTAATTAGGGGAAACGAAGGGGGGAAAGGTAACGAAGGGGAAGACGGCGGAATTTGGGAGAATGCACCCCAAAAAAGCAAACAAACCCCCCAAAGATCCCGTTCCTGGAGCTCTCCCGCTCCCACCTCGGAAATATCCCCCCGGGGTGGGGGAGGCACCACCCCCCGCGGGCGGCGCCTCCCACCGGAGAGCTCCAAAGTTTCTTTCTTCCTCCCCCCCACCCCCGCTCCGTTTCCCGTCTCAGTTTCTTACCCGGACGTCTTGCAGTGCGTCAACGTCACCATCTTCTCGACGGCCGAGTGCCACCGGTTGTACCCCGGTTCCATCACCGAGAACATGCTGTGCGCCGGGAGCCTCCAAGGCGGTAGGGACTCCTGCCAGGTACGGCCAAGATGTCCTCCTCTCCGCCGATCTGCCACCAGGGGCTGGCTCCGAGGTGGAGCTTGGGGGCAGGTCCCCGCGTCACCGTGACGGGGTTGGTGGCTCATGAACCCAAAAAGAGTTGGCCAACGTAAGTAGGATTGGCCAATGCGGTGATGGTTGGAGAACCCAAAGAGATTGGGCCAACCTTCTGGGGTGGCTGGCCAAGCCAGTGATGGTCTTCAACCCAACAAGGGTTGCCCAAACCATTCATAGTGGGCCAGCTAAACAACAGCTGGCCAAGCCAAGAGGAGTTGAATAACCCGGTGTTGGTTCCTCAACCCAACGAGTGTTGGCCAACGTAAATAGGATTGATCGACTCGGTGATGGTTGGAGAACCCAAAGAGATTTGGAGATTCGGAGAACCCAAAGAGATTGGGCCAACCTTCTGGGGTGGCTGGCCAAGCCAGTGATGGTCTTCAACCCAACAAGGGTTGCCCAAACCATTCATAGTTGGCCAACTCAACAACAGCTGGCCAAGCCAAGAGGAGTTGAATAGCCTGGTGTTGGTTCCTCAATCCAATGAGGGTTGGCCAACGTAAGTAGGATTGACCGACTCGGTGATGGTTGGAGAACCCAAAGAGATTTGGAGAACTGGAGAACCCAAAGAGATTTGGCCACCCTACTGAGGAGGTTGGGCAACCCAACGATGTTCTTCAGCCCAAAGAAGGGTTGGCCAAATCATTCACAGTTGGCCAACCCAAGAGGAGTTGGATAACCCGATGTTGGTTCTTCAACACAACAAGGGTTGGACAACGCAAGTAGAATCGGCCAACTCGGTGAAGGTTGGAGAACACAAAGAGATTGGGCCAACCTAATGGGGTGGTTGGCCAAGCCAGTGATGGTCTTCAACCCAATAAGGGTTGCCCAAACCATTCATAGTTGGCCAACCCAAGAGGCATTGGCCAACTCGGTGTTGGTTCTTCAACCCAACGAGGGCTGGCCAATGCAAGTAGAATCGGCCAACTCGGTGAAGGTTGGAGAACCCAAAGAGATATGGACAACCCACTGTGGTGGCTGGGCCAGCCAGTGATGGTCCACCAAGCCACCAAGCATTAGGCGACCCAACGAGTGTTGGTCACTCAACGCCATGATGGTGGAACAACTCCAGAGCTGGACAGGTCAACCTCATGGCTTGGTCAACCCTGTCGGAGATAGCCAACCCCATAAAGGCTGACCAAACCAGTTGGAGGTGACCAATCTAATGGCAGTTGGCCAACCCTGTGATGGTGGGCCAACCCAACAACTCTTGGCCAACCTAACAACGATTGGCCAACCCAAAAAGTCTTGGCCAACCCAAGTCTTGGGCAACGCGGCAATGGTTGGCCAACCCAACAGCAATTGGCCAACCCTGGGAGGTCACCAAACCCCACGAGGCCCAACAACGGGCCCAGAGTTGGGTGACCTGGTGGAGAAGGGTGGGTTCACACCTCCCCCCCCTCCATCTTTCCGTAGGGTGACTCCGGAGGACCTCTGGTTTGCAACGGGACCCTCCAAGGCATCGTGTCCTGGGGCATGGAGAAATGCGGGCAGCCCAAGAGACCCGGTGTCTACACCAAGGTCTGTAGATACTTCCAGTGGATCCAGAAGATCATGAAGGACAACTAGTGCCATTCCAACAACCTCCAAGGGCCCGGGGTGGGGGGTGGGGGTCGGAGGACCACATCCACGCTCCCACCGCTCGCCGGGGCAAGGACACTGGGACAACAGAGCGAGGTTGAGGGTGGAGCCGAGGTCACCTGGTGAAGCTGGTGAGATGGTGGGGAGAAGACAAGGAGAAATTAAAGCGTTGTGACGTCCGGTGGGAAATTTGGTCCTTTCAAGCTGCCCCCACCCCTCCCCCGATCCCAGACATCTCCTCTCCTCCAGGGTCACCCACAGGCCCCGTGTCCTCTCCTGGCTTCGTTTTGAGGTCAGATCCTACCGAGGACCGCGACCCCCGGCTGCGGTGGCCTTTCGGTGGCACCGAGGACGTGGGACGCTGGCGGGCAAGGCCTCCCACCCCAACGGCCCTGCGCCCAACCAAAGACGGTGGGTCAGCTTCATCGGTGGTGGCCCTCCAGGCAATGGCCTAGCCAATAGGAGGCGCCCAGTGGGAAGGAAGAACCCAACAAGCAGCAACCAATGAAACAAGGATCATCCAATGGCATGAGGGTCATCCAGCCAATGTCGGTTGGCCAACCCAACAAGGCTCAACCAAGCTGGTGATGGTTTGCTGGTCCAGCAGAGTTGGTCAAGCTGAAGAGGGTCACCCAACCAATGATGGCTGGCCAATCCAACGAGAGTTGGCCAACCCAACAAGGGTCATCTAACCAATGCTGGCTGGCCAACCCAAGTAGGGTCTGCCAACCCAACAAGGGTCAGCCAAGCTGGTGGTGGTTGGCCACCCAAGGGATCTGGTCAAGCCAAAGAGGGTCACCCAACCAATGGCAGTTGGCCAACCCAACAAGGGCCACCCACCCAATGATGGTTGGCCAACACGACATCTACTGGGCTCTTCTCCAGCCGGTGGCCAACGTGACCGGGGGTCGCTTCTCCACCCTGCCCCGCCTCTGGGTGTCCGCAGCTGATTGGCCG